GCGCCCCTGATCCTCACCCCCCCCATTCTCGATCCTCATCCCCCCCATCCACTTTTACATACAAAAAAAGTCCGTGCACCATTTCAAAACTCCACTATTTCGAGCAAGCTACACCAATTTTGAACATAAAGATACATCGCATCAAAACAGCTTTAATTCGCGATATAAAATCAAATTAAATAGAAAAAAATGCGCAGATGCGTTAGGATTAGTTATTAGGGTTAGTTGGTAGTGGTTAGGGTTTTTAGGGTTAGCCGGGAGTCCGAGGGGCGGTGTGAGCCCTTCGCTATCTGGTATATGGTAATATGATTATGTGTAAGTGTACAAGTGTTTGGGGGGGATGAGGATCGAGAATGGGGGGGTGAGGATCAGGCCTGCCCAGGTGCCCCCCCGCCCGCCTGTACGAAGGTACATGGTATTATTTATATAACAAACACGGCGCTAGACACACGCCACATCGCATCCAGTTCCTTCCTTGTTCCTGAGCGTGTAGTACATGCTCTCGGTATTTTGGATTTAACTGAACCTCTTAAGGTTTTCAACATTCGATTTGACAGTCACGTATTCAACTCTCTCTCCCTCTCTCTCCCTCATGCTCCCTCTGTCTTGGCTCTGTATTTGCATCTACCCTCTACTTAATCCTCCCTCCTGTCCCTTCTGACAACGTTTTTAATTCTTTTGGTTTTTTTTGCTTTTCTTTTTTAATCTTGTTGCTCAAGTCGAGCAGCATGTCCAGCCCTCTTTGAGTAGAAAGAGCCTCTTGTTGACTAATATCTCCTGAACCCGTATCTCTTCATCCAATCTGCCTCATCTCTCGCGAGGGCCTCACCAAAGAGGATTTCTTTTTTCTTTTTTCCATCTTTCACTCTACCATAAGCCGATAAAAAGCATTGGAAATCACATCACCTCGGATGGAAGGCCAAGAAAATCCTGAAATGGGCAACGCCATGATCTACTGTACCTATTGCGGGAAGGGGTTCTCGAGGAAGGAACACTTGGAAAGACACATACCCAGTCGTGAGTGACAACGCCAATGGGATATGCAAACAATACACTTGCTTACTTAATCGACAGATACCAATATCAAGCCGCACAAGTGTGGTCAATGCCAGTTATCATTTGCTCGGAGGTAAATAAACTTTCTCTCTCTCTCTCTGTGTCTCTCTTTTCTCGTGCTAAAGGCAGAATCGCCATGCTGATGATTTCAAATTGTTCAAGGGATCTTTTGCAGAGACACTTTTCTAATTATCATGATCCAAGCGCTTCAGAGGCACCGGTTGCGGGCGCCGGCCCAAGCGTTGCCGGAAAGACGCCAATTGCCTGTTTAAATTGTTCCCAAGCCAAGACTGGCTGCAATAAAGAAGTTCCGTGCCAAAGATGCCAAGATAAAGGCCTCCATTGCGTCCAAAGATATGCCAGGCGTACTTCGAAACTCGCCGCGCGAAGCCAAGCAGCGGCGACGGCAGCAGCAGCACAAGCATCTCGTGTGGCGCAGGTAACACCAGTCACAGTTCAGCAATCACTTCCAAACGTCTCAGTATCCATTGAACCTTCGCAAACGCTCTCGCAGATCCAGCCACCGCTGGTTCATGAGGGCGGCGCGAGTGTGACCATGGACCCAGCTATTTTGGAGATGCCGCTCATGAATTCTTTCATGAAGCAACAGGACCCGGAGGTTCACGACGGTTCCTCTCCAGCAAACAGCATAACATTCCCATTGCCAATACACTTGAAAGCAGAGAGCCCGAGACAACGGACGGCCTCTGTCGACCTGAACTTCAACAACATGAACAGCGAACCATCGCCACCCTCAATCGAGCCCATGGAAGACCAGAGCTGGGTGAATTCATTGATGTCAAATGACCCCAACTTTGGTCCTGGTAACATGTTCTCCTCAACTTATGATCTGGGTTATCAGCTAGGCCCTTCATATGCTGACCCAACAACGGACTTTTCTCAAATGTCACAATCAATGCTACAACATGATGCCTCGATGAGCAGCATGGAATTCGCAGGATCACCGAGTGGTGTATCGCCCTTCGGAGATCTCTCCACGTCCAACTCGGAACCTTCTAGCTCGTCCTGGGGCTCCAGCCACACCAGAGCAACAAGTATATGCTCCGCGCATTGTCTATATGATCAAAGTGGTGAATTTGATGTCACCTCAAATTCTGCCAAACAAGGACTACCAATATCAACTGATAGTGATGTGATCTTGACCGAGGCAGCCTGGCCGATGGCACGATGCACGCCACCAATTTATTCAGGCGCATGCCCGCGGACTGCACTTGGTCACTTACAACGCCTGGAGCAAAAGTCCTCATATCAAGGAGCAAGGCCTTTTGCTTGGCACACCCTGGAGCGCGAGTTGTCCAGCTTGAATTGGGACAATGCTGATCTGGCTTCAGTCGTGCCGATGAATAGTCAGACACGGGATTCGTTGATGTCAATCTCGCAGAGGTTCCATGCAAGAGCCCTCGACATTCACAGAGAAAACGACCCAGGTCGAGACAAGTCTCCACTTGGCAGCAACTGTGGTCCGATGTCATTCTTGAACCTCCCTTCGTCAAAGGTCCTGGAGTTCTTTATGAAGAGCTATGTCCGCAGTCTCACCTCTTTCTATTCCCTCGTCTCAGAAGGCCGTATCGACCCGAACCAAATGCACCGAAATGACCCGGCCTCCATAATACTCATGTTATTGATGATAGCGCAAGGAGCCTCGGCAGTGGACTCAGAAGACGCCCGCATCCTGTCAATGGGCCTCATCGAGACTTGCAGGATATCACTGTTGGATATTATCGACAAGAATGTTGAGATGTCTGCGGATCCAACCGCGCTTCGCGCTGCTCTTCTCTTCGCTCACCTCGGCGCTTGGAGTGGAGACAAGTGGCTGATGGATATTGCCATGGGACAACGGGGCATGTACATTTCAGTCAGTTGTTTCTACAGCACGCGGCAATTGATGTTGTTTTTGCTAACATTTTTCAGATGCTGAAACACGCTGGCATGTTGACGGCACAGCCACCCATTTGTCCAGTGTTGGACGGCGACCAGGGACAGAAGAATAGCTGGAGACTTTGGCTCCAGGTTGAGACCAAGAATAGGTCCGTTTTCTTACAAACAAAAAGACGCGGCCATGTTGCTGACTATTTCATAGGCTGGTCTATGACTGGGTCATGGTTGACCAAGAACTGAGTCTTTTCCATGATACCGACCCGCAGCTCGACGTCAGTGAGCTCCGCGCGTCCCTCCCATGCTCTGAAAAACTTTGGAAATCGTCCACTGTTGAACAATGGGCTGACGCCGTGCAATGCTACTTGAGCAAGGGGAATCCCCATCCCCTGACACCTCCATCCCTTTACCACCTCTATCGAGAATTCCTCGAGCAGAAACTCGTGGATGGGCGAGTGGGTTTGACTGCGCATCAACTCCGCCTCTTGTTGCACCCGATTCAGAAGATGCTTTGTCAGCAAAGGCAGACACTTACATGCTTCTCCGACATGTTCGTTCCTGACCAACCAGGTCATGTGTCCTTCTCGAAAGCGTACGTGATGCGACAAGTTGAAGTGGTTCGATCACTCTTGTCGAGGTGGCATGATCTGGCAATGAGATGCTTGAACATGAATCCAGACTGTACTATCATGCGGACAAACATGGTGCTGTATCACTTGATATCACTCAACGCCGTCACCAATTTCCCAGAGATTGAGAGTTTCGCTCGACAAGAAAGATATGATGGCTCATACTGGGGTTCGCGCCACCAGCGTTGCATCTATAACCGCCAACAGGCCGTTCACGACTGCGGACAGGTCTTTTCCATACTCCGAAATTTGCCAACGGATCGATTGCCCACGTGGTGGAGTGCGGCCATCTATCGGGCTACCATGATACTCTGGGCAGACAGTGCCTTGCAATCACAGTCACAAGCCCACGCGAGCCTCTCCCCGCCAGAAGCGACCGAGGGCCAGTACGCTATGAACGCACCTCAGGATTTTAATCACACATTGGATTACAATGTTATCCCGTACGTGACTCGGTCTGACGGGACACCTTTCCATCTCGATCGACACTCTGAAGTTCTTGATTATGCAATCTGTGCCATCGATCAAGGGGCTTCATCTAGGCTGGGCGAGGGGATAAAGCGCAAGCTCATTGCTCTAGGCAATAACTGGCACTAAGATTCATTTCATTGTGTCAAGGACCTCAAGGTCAACCTTGCATCTCCCATCTGCAATGTTGCAAAGGGCGGGAAGAGAACCTTCCACCTTCCCATCTTCACAACACACCCTTTATCATTGCATCATGAAAATATCGTCACCCTTTTCTTTTTAGCACCGCAGTCGCGCAAGTTTCGAACTTGGGGCCAGGCACAGCACGTAGCTGCAGGCCTTTGTCTGCCCTGCCTCCTCCCCTTCTTTACCCTTTCTCTATCTTCTCTCCCAGTGCTCCCAAAGGTGCCCATCTTGACAAGTTTTCAAGTGGCCCGAGACTGGCCAAGGATGTTGTAAAGATGGTCATAAAAATCATTACTTCAGCGACTCGTTTTCTATTTTGATCATGTAGCAATATTTCTACTACACCTTGCGAAGCTAATGGGAATCTCAGCGAGTTGGGGAGTTTGACACTAGGTGTAGACTGGAGTTCTGGGTTCTATTGGAGTTTGAACACTATTGTTCCAAATCTCCTGCATTCAATAGCGTTTCGGAGTTGTTGCTCTTTTTCTTTTCATTCCGCCTTTGACTAGGCGATGAGTTATCCCCTTGTGGGCACGCAGTCACTTAATGGAGAGGCAGTCGGGGTACTACGGGAGAACACGGATGAGAGCGCATGTGCAGTGTTAGGAGATGATTGGACGATAGACTTTTCTTCTCATAGACCAAAGTGAAGTATTGGTACAAAGGAAAAAAGAATTGATTCATGCATCATGGTATGTTGCAGTGGTCATGCTAATGGTGAACTCTGAGATACTACATTGGCCAACGCCTATGGTATCAGGGTCGTCATACGAGCCGATCCTTCGGGTTCTCGATCAAGTATGACGTGTGAATGGAAGTTTCTCTTACGCAAATCGGCTTTTTTCAGCTCAAGGTGGTATACTTTCTTGGTCGAGTCTCATCGTTGCATCATCGTTCGCTACCCACTACTTGAATGTACATGATCCGATGCCCACCTCATCATGCAGTAACATGAGAGGAGAGAGAGTGATGATAGGACTTTTACCAATAAGATGGGGCCTGGAGTGATTCTATGCAGTGTCCTGCCGCTTCAGAGGGCTTTTGGGAAGTTTGGGATTACCATTCGAAGGATGGCTCAAACAGATCTCACTAAAACTTCCAGAAATAACAAAGGGACGGTTCTAGTTCTTGATCTGATTAAGCATTAAGAAATCATGGTGTTCCATAGCCCTGGCTAGGCCTCCTCCAGAGCTTGACTTGGCGGTGGTAGTGGTGGTCCCCTTCACCCCCCTCTCGCCTTGCGACGGAATGCGGCAACGGCACCGCAGTCGCGAATCCTCGGCGGCTTTTGTCGTGCATTGAAACAAACTACCGTATTCAGGTGACTTGACTTTGGGAGAATAGAGATGGTCAAACTTTAAAAGACGGTTGAGTTGTCTGACCTTGATCTTGTTTTGGTCACCGAGGTCACGTCTGATATTCTTCCCATTTAGGTCACGGTCGCCTGTCCCCTCTGCGCCCACAATCCTTGCATTAGTATTTGCAGCGCCGACGCGAATCTCGATGCTCATGCATGTCTATCAGCAACAGTGATTGGGCGCGATAGTCGATACTGGCAGCCCCAAACTCTTCTTTTCTCTCTCCCATCTTTCTTGTCTAGTTGACATGGGAAATTAAAAAAGTATCCCATGGCTGAATCCTGCTAGATCTCACTCACCCTCCACGAAAACGGCATGGCACCCGGCAGTTTGGTCAGAGTTCGACGGAGGCAATCTTGATATAAGTAAACATGGCTCGGTAATCGTCCCGATTCCGAGACGGGATATTTAAAGAAGAGCCAATTACATGGTAGATGGAGGGCCCCTCGCGCCTTTCGGAGAATTGATATCCGTTGGAAGGAGGGGGGTAGGGAAGGGAAGGCGAGGGGGTCGGGCTGCGTTGTGGAGGGCACCCATAATCACATTAAGCTTTTGACAAAGCCCACTGGCTTCGCCTACTTGCGGATGAGAGAGGGGTGGAACCACAATCGACTCTATCTACACACCGCAATACCAGGCATGAAAAGCGGTGCTAGATGAAGAAAAGAGTTCGCGTCTCACGTCCCTATAGAATGTGCTTTGCAGTGTAGTCGAGTGGCGACTAACGATCTAGGAAATGTTTCACAAGTACCTGGCTGTAAAACTCAACAGAATGCGATTTGGATATGTATACATAAAGCTTCTGATGTCATGACTCGGGGAGCTGCTTTCAAATCCGCAAAATATCCAAAGCCTCTGAACACTGTTACAAAAGCTCCGGGTGCAATGAAGTTGAGTTGCTAGTGAGTAGGTATGCACCAATGATATGCATTCGTATAATCACTATACCCCGCCTATTCTCTAAAATAATAGTTAATTTCAAGCAAGCGATCGAAAGTATGATTTTCTACAGAGATATGAGAAGATCATGTATACGTCGTCGATAATGTACATGGGACAGTAGAACAAAATCAGCCCAGAAATACATGGCTATGACCACAGAGTGCTGTAAAGGCCAAGAGATGCACGCATGTCTTTTCGTGTTGACTGCATTAGTTCATCATCTTGGCCCTCAATTGATATTCTTCTGTCAAGCAAATAGCAAAAGTTCGATCGCCTGGTGAACAAAGGGCCGAATATATCCAGAGAGGCAAGAAACGCAGAGTTGCGGAGTTTGACAACAGGACTTGCGGTATTGATCGCCTCAATTTTTCAAACGCCAAGATTACTAGGTATATTTGCATGGATACAGGATCAAGAAAATAATGTCGAAGGTGCCAAAAGACAGAAAGGCAAAAGTTCCCAAAAAAAAAAAAAAAAAAAAGGGAACGAAAAAGAAAGAAAAAAAGAAAAGAAAGAAAGAAAGAAAAGAAAAGAAAGAAAGAAGAAG